AGAAATGTTAACAACTTGTACAAGAAATCTTTTATTTAAATGCTACTGCAGAGTTAATTTATTATCTTTGCAAATAAGGAAAAATCAAGAATATTGAACTTGATCTTGGGTAAGATAAACAAAAAGCACTTTTCTTCAACTGTGTGGCTATTCTTAGAGTATTAGATTGTAATCAGTTGAAGAAAGGGAAAGGAAACCTAAGTGTTTTGTTAACAGTTACTCTAAGCACTAGCAGGGAAGCTACAGAGGTGGGAAGGGCAGCAAGGCCAATAGGAAATATGTCCCAGGTGGACAAGAGCATGCAGCTGTCTTTGAATGTTCTAAGAGAAATCTTAAACCACACATATCCAAAGCCTAACTCAACTTCTACCCACCTCTCATTTATACCTTCTTTTATCCCAGTACAGCCTTTTGCAAGGATGAATTGTGTCAACAGTTGCAACGTTAAACTCCAGTCAGGATTAAAACTTGGACCTGCTAGTAGTACACCTGGGATCCTCAGAAAGTTTTATCCTCAGGCCAGTGATCATAATGAACTAAAATAAGTTAATGGCAATGAAGATGAAGGAAAGTTATGGTAGAATCATCCTGGTATGTATTTTTTTCACACAATTCACCCACTAAAGTGTACAATTGAATGATTTTAGGATTTTTCATATATTGATCACCACCATATATATCACCACCCCACACCCCTCCTAAACAACCCAGCCTTACACAATCACTAAACTGTCTCTATAGATGTCCTTGTTCTGGATATTTCATACCAATGAATAACTTATGGATTTTGTGACTGGCTTTATTCACTTAGCATAATGATTTCAAAGGTTCACCCAATTTGTAGAGGTATCAGGGTTTCATTCCTTTTTATGGCTGGATAATATTCACTGTATGCGTAGATCACTATCTGTACAATGTTTATCCATTTATCAATTGATGGACATTTGGAAAAGGAATCTCTTGGTCTCTGTGGCGAGGTACTCCCACACCTGAATCAGGAGCAAAGAATCTTTGTTTATTGATGGAGACTCTGTAGTTTCTCATTAGACTCCAGCTAGGTTGATGGTTCCCTTATCCATCAATGCCTTGAGGTATGCAGAAGTACACTCATCTCAGTAAGAGGGAGATGGGGAAAAGGGCACTGAAGCAAGAAAATCTTACCCAGAAAAGCTCAGCCCAGTGAAAAAGGAGTAACAAGTTTGGGTTCCCCAAAGGACAAAGATATATCCTAGATCTCAATTTACCTGAGGCCAAGGAAGTCTCACCTGGAGACACAATAATTATCTATGACCAGGAACTCAGTTCAAGCAATTCCCTGAAGATAGAATGATGTTAGTGACTATCTGAGGGTCCTGGGGCTGGCCTTACCTAGCAATCTTTCCTCTCAATATCTCAAAGCCTGGAATGGATAGAGCAGGGAATCATGAGCTACTGGAAAGGTGTGAACTGTGGGTGTCTTTTCCTGAGAAGGGAGCAGTTAGCATGGCCCTTGGGCATCTGAGGGTGGGCAGCAGCCCATGGAATGCTTACAGCTTGGGATGTAATAGTTTTCTTGGTTCAAAAGAGGCAAAGTTGTTTTCCCCATAAAGGATCACAGCAGGCAGAAGAATCAATAGACACAAGCCTATATATTTCGCTCTCAGGATTTATTTTTGTTTATGAAATTGAAAGCTTTAAGCCATAACAAAAGGAGAGAATAGCAGTTTTTGTTTTTTTCCATTCTTGAATCAGGTCAGTTAATGGTAGTGTCTTGGTAATAGTCTCTCCAACCTATGGCTTTTTGACATCATTTAGTCACTGCTGTAAAACAAATATAGAAAAAAAGAAATGCTAAATCTTAGTTGTTAATAAAAGCTATCTAATTTTGCTATGCAACTACTGGTGTAACAAGTAATTAGCATATAGAACACTGCTTATAGTGTCACAGTCTATGCCTGTATTCCATGAAATTCTTAAACCCAGCTTTTTCCTGAATTGTCTGTGACAGCCCCAGTAAGGGGAAATATTATAAAGTGGTATTCACATGCATCTCATTTACACAGTTTCAACAATTCATGTGGATAAAAGAAAATCACCAGCAAGGAAACAGAGGAAAAGAACAATAAAAATATGTGAAGAAATAAGTAATAACTATTAATTTGTCTATTTTTATCTTCAGAGGAAGAGTACTTCCAGAAGTCCTCTGTGCATTTCCAACAGGAGTCCCACATACATACACATGTTCAAAACCAAACTCATTCTTCAACCCCTCCACATCATCACTCCAACACAAACTGGTTCTGACCCGGCTACACCATATGTCATGAGTAAAAGGTGTCATCATCCATTGTGTCAGAAATGTTTAAGTCTTTGTAGTTCTCCTGTATTCTAACCCAAAAACACCCATCCAGTCACCCCTTCAATTGAGTCTATCTCTGCTATATCTCCCCAAACTTTCTTGTTCTTTTCCTCTTACCTGATCCTGCCTCCTCCTGATCCAGAAATCCTCCTGCTGCATTTCTGTGTATTCCATAGTCTCATAACTATTTCACTAGTCTCTGGTTCTTACTGAGTCTGACTGACTTTTTTCCTACTTTATCCCAGTAAAATTTCAAAAAGCAAACCATGTCATGCTAAATCCTTCCTTTACCACTTCAAAAATACCTTATATGAGAAATACTTTCTCACAGATGAGAAAACAAACTACTTGTCAGGACATACCAGACACTTGTCTTGGCTCACCATTACCTGTGTAGATTTTCTCTCACAATGTTTATAAATTTTAATGTAAATTTTAAAATGTAATAAGAGCGCAAATTTGAAAACAAGTTTGCGTTTACATGTAACCTTGATTATCTTACTGCTTTATCAGTAAACATTATTTAAGCATTTTTCCTTATACTTTATATTCAAACTGTCAATTCATTCTGTTGGGTCACCTTCAGAATTTATTCCTAAGACCATATTTACTATCCCTGGCTAGAGGTATCTTCCTTTCCCTCCTGGATTACTACAGTAGTTTCTCCACTAACTGGTTTCCCCACTTCTACTCTTGCCATCATACAGACTATTTTCAACAAACCAGCCTTATTTTATTTATTTTTTAACAAACCAGCCTTTTAAAGTGGAAGTCATGTGCTTGAAACTTTAATTCTCCAGTGATTTTCCCCTTTCACTGAGAATAAAACACAGATGCCCCCCAAGACTTCCTACAGCCTCCGGGAGTTTTACTGTCTGACCTTCTCACTACCACAGCCCTCTTGCTAACTCTGCTCCAGCTAAACGGACATCCTTTTTATTCATCAGACATTCCTGACTTATTTTTTCATTGGCTCATTCATGTGCTTGGAAAGCTCCTGCCCAGATATATGCATGGATACCTCTGACAGCTCTACCCCTGTGTCAGAAAGAGTAGATTTACAGCTGGAATGGAAAAACTCTATCTTTATCTCTGGGAAAGCCTGGATGCCTGGTTTCACTCTTTGCCCAGACAATAGCAGTGGGATTTGTAATGGGCTGTTTAAAACTTAAAATAAGGAACCTTGAGGCCTTGCGCATGAGGTGTCTCTGTGGTGCCCATTGCTTGCCTGCGCTCTCTTTGCTGCACTGTATCCCTTACATTTAAATAAAAGCCTCCTGTGAGTTGACCCTGGGAAGTCAAGTACCTACTTTCAAACATCTAAACTGGGTAAATACTTGCACCTCCTCCAGCTCCTTGCTTACATATCCCTTGCTGAATAGGGCTCACTCATTCAATCATATTCAAAACCTCTATCCAGCTCCTTCCTCACCTCCAACTCTCCCATTTACCCCTACTGAGAAATAAGACCATTTTACGTGGAGGCAAGTAGTTATAAATGTTTTCTTTGGAGGCAGATGGGAAACAGAGATCCATTGACTTAACTCTCCATCAAAGTAAAGTATGGAGGAATGGCAAATTAGTAATTGGATGAACTCTTGATTTCACTCATGGTTGAATTTTTAATTTTTCCATTTACTCCCAGTGATAGGTCTAATGTGTCAAATATTAGGATTTCTTTATGTATACAACTTATAAATTTGAATATATAGGCACACAAATGCATATATGTACATATACAGACAATTTATGGATATATTGAATATACACAAATGCCAGCTTTATCCCATTTTATAGTAAAGAATTGTCTTTCTAACCCGGAGGGACAGTGCATTTATCATTTTGCTTTGCATCTAATAGATCCTCGGTAATGCAAATTCCATTTTCCATCACTAGGCATATATCAAGCTATAGGTTTCAAAATTATGAAGTTCTTAAGAGTTAAACCTTGGAATCTGGTTGCCTTAAATGAAATTCCAGCTCCAAAATTTACTAAAATTTTGTACACATAGATAATTATTTAAGTTTTTTATGTCTGTTTCCTCATTTCTAAAATAAGGATAACAATAACCATGGAACCTCAGTGAGGAAGAAATATAAATATTGTGAGTCAATCTGTGTAAATCTACCAAATTAAAAACTTAACTGTGGAAGCAGGATGCGTGATGGTTCATAAATATTTTAGGAACATATTTAGAACCTCTTTAAAGTCATTTCTTATCATGAAAATGTTGGTTAATAAATTCTGGCTAATATTAGCTAACACTATATATTTGTAAATTAATGTAAAACAAAATTATGAAAAGCTTTGTTTCAGTCTTTGTCTTAGTATATGATATTGGTAAGTAGGAATCAAGATGATGGGGCGCCTGGGTGGTTCAGCCAATTAAGCGTCTGCCTTCAGCTCAGGTCATGATCCCGGGGTCCTGGAATCGAGCCCCACATCGGGCTCCCTGCTCAGTGGGGAACCTGCTTCTCCCTCTGCCCCTCCCCTGCTTGTGCTCTCTCTCTCTCTCTCGCAAATAAATAAAATCTTTAAAAAAAAAGGAATCAAGATGATGGAATATGGAATAATAGCTTTTTTACACTAAGATATTCTTAAAATTTTTAAACTATTGTATGAATTATATCATTTTCACTAATTCAATTCCTCAATTTACCTTTAACTTGATGACTGGTTGCTGTTACTACTGCTGTCTTCTGATACAGATCTGTAAAAAAGAAATGGCATTACTTTAGGGTTAGAAAACATTGTAATTTTATTTTTTCTGTCCATTTTGAGTATAGTTTACACACAATGTTACATTAGTTTCAGGTGTACACTTAGTGATTTGACAAGTTTATGCATTATGCTATATTCACAAGTGTAGCTACCATCTGTCCGATTATAGCACTATTACAATGCCATTGACTGTATTCTCTATGCTGTGCCTTTTATTGCCTTGTCTTATTCATTCCACTACTAGAAGCTTACATCTTCTTCTCCCTTTCATCCATTTTACCCAACCCTCCACCTCACTCCCCTCTGACAACCAGCAATTTATTTTCTGTATTTATAGATCTGATTCTGCTTTCTCTTTGTTTATTCATTATTTTTTCCATTCGTAAGTGGAGTTATATGGTATTCGTCTTTCTCAGTCTTATTTCATTTAGCATAATACTCTCCAGGTACTTTTTTAATGTTTTCAAAAACCTCCATACTGTTTTCCACAATAGCTGCACCAGTTTACATTCCCACCAACAGAGTACAAGATTTTTGTTTTGTTTTGTTTTCCTCCACATCCTCGCCAACACTTGTTATTTCTTGTTTTTTGAATTCTAGCCATTATGACAGGTGTAATGTCATATCTCATTGTGGTTTTGAGTTGCATTTCCCTAATTATTAGTGATGTTGAGCATCTTTTCATGTGTCTGTTTGCTATTTATATATCTTCTTTGGAAAAATGTCTATTCAGGTCTTTTGCCCATATTTAAATCAGATTTTTGTGGGGGTTTTTTTGACGTTGAACTATATGAGTTCTTTATATACTTAGATATTAACCCCTATCTATCATTTGCAAATCCTTCTCACACTCTTTTTTATGTTCCTCAGAAGTCCACTTTCTTGAGACTTTTTTTTGATGGAAGTTTTACATCATTATTTTATCTTTATTTGCACAAGCGAAAAACAGAGACATTTTTCCTGTAGCATATAAAATGAGACCCATTTATTTATCCTTACTTCTGCATTCTCTTTTCCCTAAATATCCACTGACTTAGCAAAATGTTGACTTGTATGGTGATATGGTAAAAAAAAAAGTTGTATGTAGGTGAAATTAGTTAAAGAAAGACAACTACCATATGATCTCACTTATGTGTGTGATCTAAATTTTTTTGAAGATTTTATTTATTTATTTGACAGAGATAGAGAGCACACAAGCAGGGGGAGCAGCAGGCAGAGGGAGAAGCAGGCTCTCTGCCAAACAGGGAGCCCAATATGGGGCTCGATCCCAGGACCCTGGGATCATGACCTGAGCCAAGGCAGACCCTCAACCAAAAGACACACAGGCGCCTCTCTAAAATTTTTTTAAAACAAAAAATAAGCTCATAGATATAAAGAATAGGTTGATGGTTACCAGAGGTGGGAGTATTGGGTGAGTGAAATGAACAAAGGAGGTCAAAGGTGCAAACTTCCAGTCATAAAACAATTAAGTAATGAGTATATAATGTATAGCATGGTAACTATAATTAATAATAAAGTATTACACATTTGAAATTGCTAAGACAATAGATCTTAAAAGTCCTCATCACAAGAAAATAAAATTTTGTAACTATGTATGGAGACAGATGTTAACTAGAGTTTTTGTGGTGCCCATTTCAAGTAGATTAATTCTGATTTTAGAAACATATGAGCAATATTAATTAAGTGCAAAATGGGCATTGTCCTATCTGTATTCTTCCTTTGTTATCATATATTTTTTAACATTTTTTTCACCTTCTACATAATCTATTCAAAAAATTTGCTTCCTTATCTCTATTAATCTCCTTGGTAAAACTGAATGCCAATGCAAAAAAAAAAAATGAGGTTGCTTAGGTTGTAGATAGAGACTACTAAAGCAATTGTAGCCAACATGGCTTTCAATTTGAAAGGCATTGTGAATTTATTGAGTAGCTTCAGTTATTTCTGGACCTATAAGAACAAGAAAAATAACTTCTACATGAAATCTGAAAAAAAATTGGTATATACTAAGACTCAGTATTTCTAAATATTAACCCAATTCATCCAAGATCCAAATTCAACACTTTTAAGTCCTACTTGCAATAGTCTGAATTACATTTTAGTTCTTCCTCAATTGGATTTTAATATTAATTTTAAAAATAATAAATTTACTTACTCTCCACTTACTGTTCCCTCTCTGTTCCAAAATCCTATTTTATTCCATTTAAGAACAATGATGGCAGTTAAAATAAGGACGGGTAGAAAAATGTAGAAACTGATCAAGAGGCCATTTTTTTGAGGAGCAGCATATCGTTTTCTAAGTAAGTTTTCACCTTTAGCTGAAAACATGAAGGTACATTTTAACTTTATTAAAAATGATAGTCAAAGCTTATTAGTAACTTGAAATATAAAAATTTGTGATTCAAATAATACAGCCATAGAATAAACTTACATTTTAAAATGTTTACAAAAAATAAATTTTTTAAAAAATGTAAAAAATTAAAAATGTTTTCCAGTATTCTGTGACTATGCCCCAAAGAGCATTATATATTTGTCAACTCAATATATAATTAATATAAATTTATATTTAATCATTATATGTATATTTAATCTTTATGTGTTATATATTATTTTTCTATTATATTCCCTCTTATGAACTGCTACTTAAATTATATTAAACTGATATTATTCCTTAATAAATTTTTCATTTAAAAAATAGAGTAGGTATAAAAGAGGGACTCTAGGGAAGGAGGAAGATGACAGAGGAGTAGGGGACCCTAGTTTCATCTGGTCCCTGGAATTCAGCTAGTTAGCTTTCAAATCATTCTGAACACCTGTGAAATCAACCAGAGATCTAAGAAAAGAATTACTGCAATTCTACAAATAGAAAAAGGGACCACTTTCTGCAAGGAAGGAGGTGCAGAAACTTGAACCCCAGGTGATATCTTGGGAGATAAACTGTGGGGGGAGGGAGGCTTCATCAGCTGGCTGCTGGAAAGTGAGATAGCAGCAGAGTGCAAAATAGGAACTTTTAGAAGTCTGTGCCAGTGAGGGACATCCTGCATGAAAGGTGCGCAGGTGGAAAGGTGGGGCACAATCCTAAGTGGGACAGTATGGTCTCAGGCTCCCTGGGTTCACAGAAAGAATGAGGGTGCCTGAGTGCTGCAGAGTTCCCTGCATCAAAGCTGGAAGCTGGCTGCAATCAGCAAGCCTAGGAGTGGGCTTTCACCTCAGTGTTGACATAAACCTTGAACTGCAGCATGATCAGGCAACTGCTGTCCAAGCAGGGACCCAGAAAGTAGCAGAACAATGGTGAGACCCTCTCTGCACCACAAGAATCTGGAGGGTTTGGAGACTCAGGTGGCATGGATCCTTTAAGCAAAGAGATCCCAGAAGTAACATAGAATATAAGGAAACAGAAACAATATGTAGAAACAGTGACTTTACAGGTAATACAATGGCACTAAATTCATATCTTTCAACTTTACTCTGAATGTAAATGGGCTAAATGCTCCAATCAAAAGACACAGGGTATCAGATGGGATAAAAATACCAAGACCCATCAATATGTTTTCCCAAAGATACATCTAGACTGGAAGTGAGGGCTTGGAGAACCATTTATCATACTAATGAACATCAAAAGAAAGCTGGGTGGCAATCTTTATATCAGACAAATTAGATTTTAAACCAAAGACTGAAATAAGAGATGAAGAGGAACACTATATCCTACTTAAAGAGCTTATCCAACAAGAAGATCTAACAATTTTAAATATTTATACCCCTAACTTGGGAGCAACTAATTATATAAAGCAATTAATAAAAAAACTTAAAGAAACACATTGATAATAATAAAATAATAGTAGGGGACTTTAACACCCTACTCACAGCAAAGGACAGACCATCTAAGCAGAGATTAACAAGGAAACAAGGGCATTGAATGACATAATGGACCAGATGGACTTCACATATATATTCAGAGCATTCCATCTGAAAGCTACAGAATACACATACTACTCGAGTGCATATGGAACTTTCTCCAGAATAGATCTCAAACTGTGACACAAATTAGGTCTCAACTGATACCAAAAGATTAGGATTATTCCATGAATATTTTCAGAGCACAATTCTTTGAAACTTGAACTCAATCACAAGAGGAAATTTGGAACGAAGTCAAATACATGGAGGCTAAAGAGCATCAAACTAAAGAATGAACGAGGGGGGAGGAGCAAGATGGTGGAGGAGTAGGAGACCTAAATTTCATCTGGTCCCAGGAATTCAACTAGATAAGGATCAAACCATTCTGAACACCTATGAACTCAACAGGAGATCAAAGAAAAGAATAGCAGCAACTCTGAACAGAAAAGCAATCACTTTCTGGAAGGTAGGATGTGCAGAGAAAGGAATCCGAGGCGATATTCGGGAAGACAGACGGTGGGGGAGGGGGCCTCCTTCAGCCGCTACTGGCAAGTGATGGAGCAGCAGAGCACAAAATCAGAACTTTTAGAAGTCTGCTCCACTGAGGGACGTCACTCCAATGGCTAAGCAGGGGATGATACCCTCACTGGGACAGTGTGGTCTCAGGATCCTCGGGGTCACAGAAAGACTGGGGTGCCTGAGTATGGAAGAGCTCCCAGGTATGGGAGCAGGGAAACAGGCTGCAGAGACGGAGCCGAGGAGTGGGGTCTCAGCTGGGGGTTGCCATAAACCGTGATCCGCAGTGCAGTTGGGCCACTGCCCCTCCAGCAGGGACCCAACAAGCGGCAGATCCGGGGAGACTCTGCTTCCTCCCCTGGAAGGACCCACACGGGAGTGCACCACAGGGATCTCCTGGGTTTGGAGACTCCACACGGGATCGGGAGCCAGAGATAGAAATGCTCAGTCACAGGCCGGGTGAGCATGGAGTGCTGCCCAAAACTGGGAAGAAGGGAGTGATTGACTGCTTTTCTCTGAGGGCTCACTGAGGAGTGGGTCCCCGAGTTCTCAGCTCCTCCAGGGCAGAGATTGGGAGTCTGCCATTTCACTCTTCTCCTCCAAAGCTGTACAGAAAGATTGCAGGGAACAAAAGCTCCCAAGAGCAAACCCAAGTAGATTACTTACCCCGGTAAAGGCCAGGCAATTCTGCCTCCCTCAAAGACATTTTGGAACCACGGCAACAGGCCCCTCCCCCAGAAGATCACCAAGAACAGCCAGCCAAGACCAAGTTTACCAGTCAATGAGAATGGCAGAACTCCAGTGATAGGGGAATACTGCACATAGAATACATGGCTTTTTCCCCATGATTCTTTAGTCATTCAAAGTTAATTTTTTTATAACATTCTTTTTCTATTTTTTTTTAATTTTTCTTTTTCCCTTTTTCAACCAACATCTT